TTTTTTTAAATTTTTTTTTTTTTATTTTTTATTTTCTATTTAAAGTGCGTTCTGGTTCCCGTCAACAAATATACGAATGATTATTTATGCAAAAGTAGCAACTCTACCTTCTAATAAAAAACTAAGCGAAGATGTTCAAGAAGTTAAGGACAAAATATGATATCAAAGGGTAGACCAGAAAAGCGATCTCTTTCCAAAAGTGCTGGACATAAATTTTCTGCCAACAAACACCACTCTGGTTATACCGATATCTGGATATACAGGAATTAAAATGATATTTTGAAACCTTTATATTTAATATGAGAATGCTCAGCTTAAACCGATATTTTGATATACAACAATTTTTTATTTTTTTTTAAAGTGTCGATATAACCAGAGTGATGTATAATATAGAATATATGGAACGTATATTAAAATTATATGTTAAAATTTTGTGTAGGATATATTTACAAGCGTTATAAAATGTTTTTTTCCCCAGCATGTCTATCTTACTCAAATCGTACTAAAAGAATCCCTCAAGAAGTACTTAATTGACAACTTTTCCGATTTTATATCAAGCATTAGTGAAAATAAATTCACTAATAGATTTCACGATAGCTGGTGCAGTCTGGTATGTAATTTTTATTTAATCATTATAATTTTTTATATTTGTATTTTAATTGCTATTAATTATTATTAATCGTTATTAATCATTATTAATTATTTACATATTTGTATTTTAATCATTATAACTTTTAATCATTTACATATTTGTATTTTAATAATTAATTTTAATTAATTATTTAATTATCTTTTAACAGCTTTTGCAGAAAATAAAGAACCATCGTGGTTCAGCTCTACAAAATGTTTGCTCTGCTATTTGAAAGGTTTTTGGCTATGAGAAGCTACCACTGCTTAAAAGCAACGCAGCTCCTGCTAATATAGTCCTGTGGAAGAAAAGCCCACAAGTTCAGGATAGTTATCGAGCTCTTTTTGAACAAAACGATGAAGGCCTTCTTTGGATTAGTATAATTGCAAGAACGGCTTTTAGCATGGTCGTCGTCCCAGATTTGACCAATTATCATTATGCATTCATACTGGCAGTGTATGATATTCTTTTAAACCCACGATCAAAAAATATTTTATGTAAAGAAGATCGCATTTTGTGGCGTATTGATAAATATTTGGTAGGTATTAGTAAGTAATTATTTTATTATGAAAGTGATATTAATATTTATTATTTATTCTATTCTATTCAAATAAAGTGATTTCGAGCAGTGTGGTTTTAGTTATCATTCTGCAGAATTAATAATAGATAATGAACTTGCAGTGTGTCCTCCTGATGGTGAACGATCAAGACAAGCTACACTCGATCATGAGTCTGTTTCTCAGGTTTCTTCAGGGTTGCTTTCACA